CTCAAAAATAAATAAACATTAAAAAAAATTAAAAAAAAAAGTTCCAAGTAACACACATCAATCTGTTTCACACTAATGTTTCTTGGTCAGCCCATTATAAGGCACCCTATTTCAAACAAAAGATGGTGTCACTTTTTCATGAGAACAAAGTATGATAAATTTTTTTGAAAGTTGAGTTAGATTAGAGTAACATCCCTTCCTTTAAAATCACTTTTTTTTTTTAAGTCATTCATAAAAATAGTTCTAATGCTTTGGTTCAAAAGGCAGCCATCTAAATATTATCTATTTTTGGGGTGTCTGGGTGGCTCAATTGGTTGGGCATCTGACTTCAGCTCAGGTCATGATCTCACAGTTCGTGGGTTCGAGCCCCATGTTGGGCTCTCTGCTGTCAGCACGGAGCCTGCTTGGGATCCTCTGTCCCCCTCTCTCTGTGCCCCTCCCAGCTCACACGTACACACGCTCTCTCACTCAAAAATAAGTAAACATTTGGAATAAATAAACAAATAAATAAATATTTTTGACCTACCATCATGAAACATAGTTCTGCCACAAATTTGAAGACTTCTCTACAAATGGATTTTCTACAAATAAATTTGGTGTATGGTATTTAAACTAGGTTTCAAAGAATCATTAAGACTAGAGAGCAGATTTTACAAAAGACCTGATTTCAAAGTGGGATCCATATGTCCTAGATTGCTGAAATTCATTATTTACTCAATGTTTACTGTGCCTTTCATACCTTTTACTTGTATAGCCACAGGGATTACAGCAAACAATTAGACATATAACCAACCAGCAATTCCTACCCCTGTCCTTACATATCTGACATTTTATATATTTATTGTCTGCCTTCCTCATTAAAATATAAGCCTCATGAGAGCAGTGACTGTGTTTTTACAAATGTATCCCCAGTACTGAAACAGTGTGTGGCACACAGCAGGCACTCGGTGACTACTAAGCAATGTGTCTATAGGAAAGACAACAACTATATTCTTCCTACAAACAGATTTAAGCAACCACAATATACCCTGTTTGAATCTGCTGCTTTTTACAGAGTAAGTTTTAACTTTGGTGGTGTCTCCTCCTGAAGTGCAGAAATACAGCTATCTTTAAAAGTTCAGAAGAGGCTCACTGATTCCAAACAGGCACTGATTCCAAAGAGGCACTCTTCAATACAGGTCTGGTCTGAACTTGCAGACAACACGTACAGGTACAGGTACACCAGAGTCACTTCCGCACACACAAGACACAAACACATGGATGCTCACCCCTCAATAAAGGCATATATGCGGTACAAAACACGCCAGGAAGGGATGCCACAAGACTTAGTGCTCACAAGGAGCTTTGTGACACAGAATGAAAGGTACCACAGACACAGAAAACATTACAAAGGTGTGGCAATACAATACCTCAAAGACAAGAATCAGTTTGTAACCCTGATGTAATGAGGATTCCAGGGACCACTGACAATCTCCACTTACAAAGCAAAGCATGGAACAGACCCAAAGTATCAAATGCCCTGTAACAAAGAGAAACTGACATGATAAGTCCTGAGCTGTCCTCCCAGCTGTCCCTTCCACATTAGCACCACAGTGCAGGCAGGCATTTCTTTCACTGAAACAGATTTTTTTCCGTACGGTCTACCTTCTGCCATTAAAGTAGCTTACCTCCTGCCCTGTAGCTGCTTCCATATCAAGAAACAGATCAAGAAGAGATCGGACCAGACGAGCTGCCTTAGCCTTGCTGATGGAATTCAAGAAGGGTCGCACATACTTCAGGAGTCCTCCAAGCTCTACGTGGAAGGTAATTCAGAAAAGAAAAAGTAAACATCAATATTAGAGACAAAATACCCATTAAAATAATGATCCGAGCTCATAAAATCCATCTAAATGAAGCATAGTAGGAACATAAAGCATTCTTAGCAGGTAACAGAGTAGCAAAAATGAGTCAACAACATATACCAAATACGTATTCCATTCCGTACTCAGCTCCTGGATTACTATGAGGGCCCTGGGAAAAACTCACGTCTCCAGGCCTCATTTACCCATCTTAATGAGAGATAAAAAGCAAAGCCCTCAGTCTCAGAACACAGTTTTCTAGAACGTGAAATATGCTGTGCTTCTGACACCTGAGGCGAAAAATCACTCCCTCATAGCCAACAAATCTGATCAGGTTACAGGAGGGTTGTTTTGTTGTTGTTGTTGAATTTCCAAGTCCACTGTGGCAGCTCTCCCCCTTAAACAGATGAAGATTTTCAATTCCAGGTTTCCTCCTCCTCCCTTTTCAAAGTTCTCCCCAGGTTAGACTTTTAGCAATATCCTTTCCCTGGCACTCTTCTGAATAAACTTTTCACAGAAAAGTCAGGATGTATTCCCCTTAAAGATATACTATCCATTAAAGATATATTTAAAATTCCTCATTAATCTGCAAAGCTTAAGTCTTAAACTATGACCAAAACAGGTGTCCACCACAGAAGTTTTTCTCCTTATAGGAAAAGAAGGTGGAACAGTAATTTTAAGGGAGCATCTTTGACCAAACTGTGACCAAAACAGGTGTCCACCACAGAAGTCTTTCTCCTCTTATACAGGAAAAGAAGGTGGAACAGTAATTTTAAGGGAACATCTTTAGAAACAAGAGTAAAAACTGTAGAATATTTCAACTATTTCAACAATAACTAAGAAAGTATTTGGAATGTAGGTTAAAATTACTTTAGTGCCACCGCCTCTTTAATATTCTTCAATTGTGGACTCACCCTCCTGAGGATTCTAATTCAGGGCAAGCAAACCTCACCCTCCCGAGAATGCTAATTCAGGGTCCTGAAATCCTCATCTGCCTGAACAGTAACAGGATGCATGGGGCTGCGTCAGGTACAAAAGGAACTTTATACATAGAAAAGTTCATCTTTCTCTTCACTCTCCAGTACTGACCTTTGATTCCACTAAGGTTTTTCCCATTCTGCCACTCCATTCATCCCTGCATAGACTATACATGCTTCTGCTCTCATGTCTCACTCCTGCTGCATTCCCATGTAGAATTTCTCCCCCACCTTCTTGACCTATGTAAACCTTACATATCCTTTTAGGTCCAGCTAAAGTCCTGCTGAGTCTTCCATGACAACTCCAGACCACACTGATTTCTCCCTCTCAAATTCTTTTTACATTTATACAAATCTTAATTATATGCGCATAGCTTTACAAAAAAAACTTCTTTAGTATTTATTTTTGAGAGACAGAGTCCGAGCGCAAGCAGGAGAGGGGCAGAGAGAGAAGGAGACACAGAATCTGAAGCAGGCTCCAGCCTGAGCCGTCAGCACAGAGCCTGATGCGGGGCTGGAACCCACGAACTGTGAGATCATGACCTGAGTTGAAGTCAGACGCTTAACTGACTGAGTCACCCAGGCACCCTCACAATCATAGCTTTTTAAAAGTAGTCTAGTACAGGAGCACCTGGGTGGCTCAGTCGGTTGGGCATCCGACTCTTGGTTTCGGCTCAGGTCATGATCTCACAGTTAGTGGGCTCAAGCCCCGCATCAGGCTCTGTGCTCAGAGCTCGAAGCCTGCTTGGGATTCTCTCTCTCCCTCTCTCTGCCCTTCCCCGACTCACTCTCTCTCAAAATAAATAAATAAACTTAAAAATGTTTTTAATAAATAAATAAAAGTAGTCTAGTACGATGTCCCTTCTCCCACAGTATTTCCTACTATGACAGAACAATTCTGAATAATCTCTAATGACAGAAATTGTTCAGAAAGTAGACTATTCGGATGTTGGTCAAACTAAATTGTTCCTTTATTTAAAACACAAGTCTGTACCCTCTTTCCACATGGCTTCAAATCTCTGAAGATAACTACCATTTATATCTCTCTAACTTTCCCTTTCTCCAAGCTAACCATCTTTAGCTATTTCAACTCTTCCCCCAATGTCCTGGTTTCTAGATTCCTTGTCACTGAATAAACTCTAGTTTGCAAACATACCATTTGTGGTAACCCAGAACTGAAAACAACTCTCCAGGTAGGATCTGACCAGTAAAGCCATGGCCTAATTCTCTTGATCTCGCCGCCACATGCAACACAAGGTAGCCTACTTCCTTTTTCCTAATAGCATTTTTTGTTTAGACCGAGTCCATTAAGGTCTTTTTTGCATAGACAGGTAATTCCCCATCTCCCTGTTTTGATGAATACTTTTAAGTATGTATCTTTATACTTACCACACTGAATTTAATCTTGCTGGCTTTGGCAGTAACTCTGAATCTTAATCCTGTCCTCTACTGTACTGAGTCATCTACAAAAACAAGCAGGCCTTCTGAAATGGCTTTAGCCATAATGCCAGATGCTGACCAGAAAAATAAGGACAGATCCCCAGGACATGATGCTAGAGACTTCCCTTGAGGTTGACAAATGATTTTCATACCCTTTACCTATCATTAATATTATGGAAAATGTCCAAATATCTTGCTTACATGTAATCTGTATCATTCCTCTAACCCAGAAATGGGCAAACTTTTTCTGTGAAGGGCCAGATAGTAAATATTTTCAGCTTTTTGGGCTATGTGGTCTCACTGGCGGGTACTCGATTCAGCCACTGTAGTGCAAAAGCCATCAGACAATATGTAAACAAGTGGGTGTAGCTGTGTTCCAACAAAACTTTATTTACAAAAACAGCTGGCAAGCCCCTGCCTATGGAGCTCTGCAAATCTACTGGTCTGATAAGGCTAACCAGAGAAGAGAATGGAGGTGAGTTTGGAATAATCCTTTCTTAATAAACCCACTGTCTTAAGTGATTAAAACCTACTTATCAAATAATCTGTCCCAGATATTAATGATTACCAGTTTAAAGTGTCTAGAAATTATTCTTCTCATTATCTTCACGCAAAGAGAAATAATATTTGCCCATCCTCAGTTTTCTTAATACTTCTTCATCCTCCATGACTTTTCTCAGAATAATAATAGTGGCTCTATAAATATATCTGCTAGAACGACGCTTTTGATATTAAAAGACAAAAATTGTCAGAGCCTAGAGACTTGAACTTATTTAAAGAGACTATCTGCTCTCTCTTCTCTCACCTAACTTGGCTTTAATTCTCTTTCTGATATGTTCTTTCTCTTTTTGAAAATCATTTTCCTTCCTGGAAAAGGCTGAAGTGAAACATGAACTAAGCAGCCTGCCTTCCCTCTAGCACCTGCTAGCATTACAGTAGTTGCTCTAAACGCTGAGTGTTACTCTTCTTACCCTAACCAGAAAACAAATGACCTCTTCGTTGCCAAAGACTCACCAATTTTTTTTTATTCCCACAGAATCTACTGACTTTTTCCTCCTATTTATTTATATTTATATGACCAGAATTTCCTTTTTAGAACCTCACAGAATTCAACATAATCCTTTTAGAATCTCAGGCTACGATATCTGCAGATCCTGACCCCGGCCATCATGTCTGATGGTGCTCAGCACCACTTTCAACTACTATCATGCATCCAACCTTGCCTTATTCACTAATTCCCAAATGACTGCTGTAGATCAGGGACCTTATCTTACATTTTTTTAATGGAGTACTTAGCACAGTGCTAGCTGTATATTAAATGCATAATAAAACAAAACTGTAGGTTGGGAATAGACATCTCTTCTCAGGGAACCAAAAATCAAAGGGAAGAACTTCTAAAGTTGTCAGGTACTGAGTCACCAAAAGGAGAAGGGCAAGGAATAAGAAGATAAAATGAATAAATAAATAAAATTATAAACAAATTCAAGCAGAAATAAATAAATAAATAAAATTCAAACAGAATAGTTAATATTTTGAGATAAATTTTTGAAGTGTTGACTATACTACATGCTACTTGTAATTATCCGTGCTACTGGAGGAAAACAAACATTTGGATATTTCAACAACCGAAAAACCTTAAATCACTTAATCTGACTTTCTACCTCTTTCAAGAAAATTACCTTATTAATTATATTGTGTATGGACTAATTATCAAAACTATTATGCAACACCAAGCTCACATTAACTGACAGTCCAAAGAAATCCATAAATATGTTAAATAGGAGGGAAATCAGTCTAAAAAAAAAAAAACAAAAACAAAAACAAAAAAAAACACAGGGGCACCTGGCTGGCTCAGTCAGAAGAGCATGCAACTCTTGATCTTGGGGTCATGAGTTCAAGTCCCATGTTGGATGTAGAGATTACTAAAAAAAAAAATAATAAACCTCAAAAATAAGTAAATGAATAAGTAAATAAATAAATTTTCTAAATGAAGGGAAAAAAACCAGTACCAACCATTGATAATCCATAAATGATTAACTACAGAAAGCAATAACCATTATACCATAAGACTATGAGCTCTGAAGTGGGACTAATTGATTCAGATCCTGGCTCTCCCACATACTAAATAAGTGACTGGGTAAGTTATTTAACTTTTCTGTGTTCAGTTTCCTTAGGTGTAAAATGGACAATTGTATCTACATTATCAAGTTGTTTTGAGGATGCAATAAACTAAATCATTTTTGTGCTTAAAAATGCAACTAGTTGATAGTAAGCATTTAAAAACTTTTTATCATATATATTTTTAATGATATTTTAAGTAAGACACAAAACCCATATAAACACATCCTCCCAACTGCATACATCTTTACTCAACTTTCTATTGCCTAAGCTTAATAATAAGTTAGTTATCCTTAACTGCGAAAAATCTTAGTTCTCAAGTTCAAGAAGTTTTGCTAACTTACACCTTCTGGGGAATATTATTTCGGGAAAAGTAATCCAGGAGGTCACTTACCAGAGCTTAATCCACTTAATTAAATAAGATCTAAATTCACTTTAGAGTTGACAAAAAATCACCCGTTTTAAGCTTAAGCAGCCTTCTCTCTCAACCCTATTACCACTTTACTGGTCAAAGACCCTTCCTGGTCTCTTATTCCAAGGTCACACACACCCATCATCAGAATAGCATCTGAAGCCTACAAAGTCAGTGGTTCAATTACAACTAGAATGTTTGGGCAATGACATGCACAGAGTCCCAGGTAACAGTGGAGAAATCTCGGGAAGGCTCTTTCCATTTGTTGTCTTACTTAGTCTGTATCAGGAAAAAAGGACTCACTCTCTCTCTCTCACTCTCCCCCCCCCCAAAGAAACTCATACCTCTCTCGCTCGCTCTCCCTCCCTCTCGCTCTCCCTCTCTCTCTCTCTCTCTCTTCGACTCACTTGGATGCAAAGTCCCTGGTCATTTTCAAGACAAGGGCCCAAGTCGCTATCCATCTTAAGTATAACAGAGCTGAAGTCACTGAAGACTGCTGCTACCCGTGCTGCTGCCCTTATGTAAGGGAACACAGTGAAAATTCCAGCCAGAAGCAAATCAGAGACCACCATATCCCAGCAGGGCCAGGAGCTTCCCTCACCCGCAGAACAAAACTGTTCCACGGAAGAACAGAGTTTAAAGTTCACCCAGCTTCCTCCTAAAGAACCGAAGCTCAACAAGTTGACAATAAAATGACTACCAATAAGCTGTGTGGATGCATTCCTAGGATCCTTTACAGAAACTTGAAAAACCTCACCCAACATTTCAGGCAAAAGAGAAAGCAAGCCATTTGCAGCACTTACCTGCAGCTTGTCCAGTCTTCGCCAAGAGAGACCCGAGTTCCAGGATACTCTGCTCTTTGACCTGCACTGCCTCCTCATCATTCTCCTGAATGTCACGCTTCACTAGGAGAGGAAAATGCAAACCTTCTTAAAATTCTGACAAAAAATGAAGACTGAGGGAAATTTCACCCTCACAAGACCAATTACAAACACTGTCACCAAAAGACAAGTTCTAGATAGCTAAAAACAAACAAACGCACAAACTCTAAAAGTGAAATCAACATGTGGGATACGTCCCATGTAAATCATAAAAATGGATTTCTCTCTGACTTTAAATGTGCCTTTTCATTCTATCAATTAGAATTTCCCTTACCCACCTACACTGAAATTTCCATTGCAGTCACTTGGTTAAAGCAAAATTCAAACAAGTTCTTCTTATTTGTGGTGGTAAGCCCCATGCTGGGCACTATGTTACTGAAAATATTAAACATACGTATACGTTTACCTGCCACAAACTAAAATCAAATGACCAAGTTACTGATGAGTAAAAAGCCAAAAGTCTTTCAATAAACTTTAAACCTGTGTAAAGCCTCACTGATGGGTGTGCTAGGGATAAGCAGTTCTAGGAAGCCGTTCAGGAAGAACAACCCAATCAAAGCTCCAGTGTGATCCTTAGGAAGGACTGGTGCTTTGTAATGGATGCAGGACCTGTTAAAATAACTTTGTTCTATCTGTCCCACTTTCAGCTGTTAATAACTACTCTACCACTCACACACTGAATAACCCCTCCGAGTTTGTGGTGATAATTTTAGCGATCATCACTAGTTATCACTTCTCTTACAAAGCATCATGACTTGACAAAAACCAAGATTTTGATACTCCATGATGGAGTCTGGAAAAAGTACGGCTGTAACCATCATGACTCAAGCTTGCTCTAACAGGGAGGCTTTCAGGCAACTCTCTCCTAGTAGAGTGGAAATCACAAAATGTTCCAACTACAATTTTTACTAATAGTTTCACATTATAAAAGACAAAATATTAGGCACTAAGCACACATACAAAAATAAAATCCATACTTCTCACATTAGTGTGTACTCACAGAATAAAAATACATGCGTGACTGAGATGACTCAGTTCTGTAACTATAATAACTTAATTCAAGATCAGAACTTCAAAACGAAAACCTTTCATTTACCAATACGATCCATCCACAGATGCATCTTAACCCCCATCTCCTCTCCGAGCCTCCAATAACCCCAAAGACAAAGACATCAAGATCCTGTCATTGTCTTTTCTCCCCTGCAAGTCAGGAATATCAAAATACAACAGACTAGGAAGTCAACACGAAAGCCAACATCCTGGAGGTCCCACATACACGTGCATTCTTACACTACTTGTTGATCCAATTCGAATCTTCTCAAGCTACATTAAAAAGATCACATTACTACATGTGCAGTGAAGAGCAAGCCCATGCCCTAACCGAACCCTTTACGACTGAACATTAAAAGCCTTCTGTCTCACAAATTTCTGTTCACACCTGAATCCCGATAGAAACCTGTCGTAAGGGACTGGCTGGAGCTCCCATTTCAGTTTTCCTGTTGGGCGCAAAGCTAAGGCAATCATACTACGATGTACCGAAAAGTGTCTTTAATTTCTTCCGGCCGTGTGCAGCCGGCCGGTTCCCCGAACTCCGCGGCTGACAACTAACTCCCCGAACTCACTTCCCACCTTCTACAAGGGAGACCAGGACGATTAGTCACCTCCTCGAGTCGGACGGTCCCATCTCGCTCTTACACCCCACACGGGGGCAAAGGAACGTCTCGGGCACCTCTTCAAACCAAATGCCAATTGTCAGTGTGTGTCCCCTCGGTATTTTCCACATTCAGAGAGAGGTCTCCCTTTAGTGGAGCCTTCCGATGGGAGGCTGGGGAGAGGTAGCAGCTCCCAGCGTCCCGAGGAAGAAAACTCCAAGAGCAAAGCGAGCGCTCGCGCTGCCACCCGGAGCGGGCTGTGCTGATAACAACGGCGGGAAACCCTGTCTACAGCGGGTTTCACCAAGGCCCTTCAACTCGAGGCTCTTAGTCCTGCTCGCGACAAGCCCGCCGGCCGGCACTGCTCCCGGTCCTGGGCCAGCCCGCATGGGCCAGAGCCGGGGCAAGGCTGGGGAGTGGTGGGGGCCCCGGCTCGGCCCACACTCCCACTCCACGCTAAGCCCACCGTGAGTCAGCAGCCGGCGAGGGAACGCCGGGGCTGCCTCGGGGCTTCCCACCCGGGTGGGACCCAGGGGGCTCCAGGGAGCTGCGAGCGGCCTGTGCCCCCGGCCCGGCCCCCCTCACACACAGTGAGTCAGCAGCACCAGAGCCGGATAGCCCGGCCCCGCTCCGCCGCCGCCGACCCGCACAGGCCGAGCTGAGCCGGCAGGGTCAGGGAGGGGGCGCGGCGACCTTTACCGATGGAGTGGAGAATGTCGATGGAGGCCTCCCGGTCGGTGCTGAGTAGAGACTGGGCTCTCTGGAACTCCACCACCGCCGCCGCCGCCATCTTACCGCTTTCACACAGTCCCCGGCCGCGGCCGCCGACGCCGGAAACACACTCCCGGAAAGCCCGCCCTCGCGTCCCTCTTCTCTCATGGCCCCTCCCTCCCTCCCGTTCCCAGAGCACCACGGGAGTTGTAGTCTCTCCGCCGGGCAGGGCAGGAGGAGTGAGGGTGAGCACTGGAGCGCCTTGGCTGGTTGGCGGCAAACTCCCCAGCACCGCCTAGCGGTCAGCCCGCGGGCGAAAGAGGCGGTGCCTAAGAACTGGAGCCGGAGGCTAGTCTCCACGCACCCCAAAAGAGGCCTCTTAGCGGCGACTCCCTTAGCTCGCCCTTGAGAGGAGTTTTTGAACCCTCGCCTAGGTATTCGTGGAGAGCCGTTTGGCTTCCTTTGTAGCTTCCACGTTTAACCACTCATTCAGGGCAATGAACGATCTTATAAAGTGCTCGCAATGTGGCAAAGAATAGCACCATTCAAAGGCGTTCAAGTGTCTAACGACATTTGTCACACACACACACACACACACGCACGCGCACACACTTTCCAGGCTAGGATCCTATAGAATCATAGCCAGCCTGTGATTAAACCCACCAGTGCCGGGGAGAACTGATGTTGGAAAGTGAAATATCATCCTTGCCCCATTCACTCAATAAATCCCTCTTGGGAGTCACACCAAAGTCTAACGGCTACCTGGACTCCTCGGCTCAGAAAAGAAAAAAAACTGGAGTTTTCTCTCTAATATCTCCAGTGCCTTCAACTAAAATCAGAGATACCTGAAAGGCTGTCAAGTGGCCGGAGAAAAGACCTTCTATGTGACCACTGAAGGGAGAGCCTAAGGGAAGGGCTAAAAATATAACAGAGGCAGTTCAATATGAGGAATATTTTTCTCTGGGTGAAGACAATCCAAAAAAAATACGTTGTCCCCTAAAGGGACCTGTAAAGGGAATCAACATTGCTCTCCTCTCTGACTGGGTTAGGCAATTTATATATCTTCTTTTATCCTCCCAACAATGTTCTGAAAGAAGATACTATTTACACATCTTTCCTAGATGAGGAACTGGGTTTAAAATGATTTGGTGAAATGAATATGATAACTGACAGAGCTGAGAACTGAAAGTTAGGAAATGGGCTCCTACTTCCTGGATGTATCCAGATGAAAACTGGATAACATCTCAAGTTGTAAACAGGATTGATGGCATTGGTGGGGAAACAGATTAAACGGCTTCTAGATTTCTCCAAACTCTGAGATGCCATGAATCTCAGTATAAAACTGAGACTTGCTTTGCTTAAAAAAGGCATTCCTCCCTCCTCAATTTGGCATGGATGCTAATGAGTTATAAAATTCCAAAGCAGAGAACAAGTCATAAATATCTTCACCTTCTAAAGAAGACCTACCTGTTCATCCCCAAAGACTTACTAAAAACTGACTAGACCAGTTCTAAAACCTCCACTTCCAGCCTCCATCAGGGAGAGAGAAAAATTCAAAAGGAATCCATTAGAAGAAATCATGAAAGAGGATGAACCGTTCACCTCACTATAAAGAGGAAGCACTACAAAAGCCTGGTGGTATTTGCCAGATCTTTCTCCCAAGCTGGTGAGTCCTGCTGACTACAGGAACTTAGAAAGCCATCTCTGTGCAACCACCATTGTGAGAGCTTTGAGGTGAACCAGACCTGTCTGTCCAGGAAATTGGGGTCTTCATGCACATTCATGAAGGCGGTTACCCACTTTTGGCCTGCAGAATTCTGAATTAGGGAAGGGGGCCGATACATTCCACAGTGTGACAAGGAGAAAGAGCAGCAATGGGGGAGCCTCCCCTACCTGTGTTTGGCATGGACAAGTGGCCAACTCAAATAAGAGGCTGGAAGAGTGGACATCAAAAAGTCATAACTGGGGTGCCTGGGTGGCTCAGTCGGTTGAGCGTCCAACTTCGACT